TGCAGGGGCTGTGCCTCTGAGGCCATGAGCAACTCCCGCTCCCTGCTGCAGGTACTGCTCCGGCTCACTGTAAATGGGGAGCTAGTGGAAGGGGAAATGGAGCCCCCTGGCACTCACTAAAAGGGAAAGTGGTGCATTCTCCATCTCTTGATATCATTGAATGAAGACTAGATGCCCTTCTGGAATGTGTGCCCAAAAAGTAACTATTGTACTACACAGGAAGCCTATGATATGCAGGGGGTTAGATGAGATGCTCTAAAGGGCTCTTCTGGCCATAAAGTCTACTAATTTTGGAAACACTGAGTGTAGAATTGGCAGCAGCCTCTGATGTTGTACTGTCTAGCCGGCTTGCTTCCTAGAATGAACAGGATTCATCATGGAAGTTGACACATCTAATTTGACAATCAGGGCCATGCTCTCTGAGGTATGGCCCCCAGCACCTGGTGCACCCCTGTGCATACCGCTCCTGGACCCCACTGACCAAATCTAGGAGATCCTTGATAATTAGCGGGTTCTCATTAAATCCTCATTTGAAGACTGGTGTCAGTAGCTGAAGGGGCCTCGATACCCAGCACAAGTTTGTACTGATCACAAAAGCCTCCAGTATCTGCGCAAAGCCAAAGCACTGAATCAGGGACAATTCAGCTAGACCTTATTCTTCTCTTGCTTCAATTTCAAGATTACTTAACTGCCCACATGGAACTAAGAATGGCCAGGCTGACGCCCTGTCATCTAATGCAGAATATAACCAAGAAGGGAGAAAGCTAGTCTGGACCAGCCCTTCCTCCTCAAGCCCCGAAACGTGCTTAACACTACCATACCTCAAGCTCTACTCATGCTAATTTAATCAGCCTCCTGGGATGACCCGCTGGCCAGGGAATGGGGACATCTCTGAACAATCAGGAGCCAAGAATGAGAAACAACATTCCATGTGGGACGCGATAACATTTACTAAGGGCCGCCTGTACTGCGAGGATGTCCCCGGTTGAAGGTACTACATCCGAACCAGGGCAACTCCCTGGCACGGCACTTTGGGTGCCTCAAAACCTCCTGCTTCGTTTGGTGGTGCCGGATGTGGGCTGAAATTCAGACTGATATTGACTCATGTGACTTCTGCACTTGCACCAAGGCACCACACACCAAATATCTTGGCACCTCATGTCTTTGCCCCAGCCATGGGCAGCCAGTGCCATGGATTTCATTGCAGAACTCCCTGAATGAAATGGCCACATGGTGGAACTGACTATCATAGAACAACTGACCAAGATGGCACTCTTCTTCCCCTGTGTCCTTATACCCTCGGTGAGAGGACAGATCAGCTCCAAATTTGCAAACCAAAATGCCAACGACACCTTTTTTTGCTAGCTATACAGTTCCCCCTCATTTCATCCCACACTACCAATTGCCTCTCTGAACTTCACAGCTATCGACTTGGTTCAATGAATCCATCACATTCAAGAACTACGTGGGCACCTTGAGGACACTAGGATGGACTTCAAATAGTATGCAGATTGCCAATGACAGGAGGGGTCAGTCTTTTCAGTAAGGAAACTATTTGATGAAGGGAGGTACCGAGCCCTTGGCATTGACTGAATTCCTAAGCCCCGTGTGTGGCAGCAGTTCCTGCCCCATCCCCCTTCTTTGACCTTCGGATGCCATCCTCCTCCCCTGGTTATAGTAGAGAAAATTCTAGGTCCCTTCCCCTGTGGCACAATCCATGCCCAGAGTGTCCAAGCCCCATGCAGACAATGGGACTGTCCTCTCCTCACCTCCTGGGGAGGGGAGGAACCTACTACCCCCATTTTACAGACAGGAATGAAAGCAATAAAGTGACCTCTCCAAGGTCACACCTACAAACATGGGGTAGATCTGGGAACTGGACTGGCTTCTACTCTAGTGCCTTCCCCACAGGGGCAGCTTCACTTCCTGCCCTTCCTTCTCCCCTCCCCTCTTGGCCCTTCTTCGATGGGGTCTCTGAACAGGAAATGAGCAGGGGCTTCCTCCCCTCTCTGTCTTCCAGGCTCTGGGATCTGGCCTTGCCTCCTACATCAATGTAGTCTGCAGCTGGCCCAGCTTGGGGGGCGATGACTTCATCCTGTCAAACCGAGAAGTGCTGGCTCTCAGTGATGCTTAGATGGAAAACCACACACCCCTCATGGAGGTAGGAACCACTCACTCATCTGGCTGATTGTGGCGTTTGGGACAAAGATCAGGTTCCTGGTACATAGTCTGGCTGAGCGCAACCCTTATCCCTGGGTCCCAGCCCTGGGACTGAGACGTTGTTCTCATTGTGCTGTGTTGATTTTATTCCTAGGAAAATCATCCCCAAAGGAGGTGTAAGGATCCTGGACTCTATTGCCTGCAAGAAGCTTCAGCCACCTTCACAGGTAGAGGTCACTGTCTTTCTTACAATGTCACCAGTGCCCCCACCCCCACCAGCAGATACTTTTTCTATGGGAATCTCACTAGAGCAGAGAAGGAATCTCTTCTTCTCTTAGAACATGTCTGCTCAGTAAATCCACCCACACTGACCTCATCTTAGATGCTTTATTTATCTGAGATTAGTGGTATCTTTTGAAAACCCTTAGCATGTGGGGGTGGGGTGGAGCAGGGGAGACTGGAGCTTCAGCAGATTCCCATGAAGAACACCACCCTGTTTTTCTGTAGTCAGGCTAGGGCTCACTGTCCATTGTGGAGGTGAAAAGCGGATGGGAGCTGCTGGATTGGCCTTGATATGCCATGTCCTTGTGTGGATAAGGGACCTACATCACAGAGATGGCCAGCAGCAGATGTACCACACATGACCAGGAATGGGCTGAACAACCTACATTGATAGGTAAGTAAAACTGTAGACACGACGGGCATTGGTGGGGATTGAACCTGGGTCCTTCAGCACAAGCCCCTCTCACTCAAACTAAAGGGATCACTCTAGGAGTCTAAGAGAGCTATCGGGTGAGTCTGATGGAATGAATAGAAAGGGAAGCCTAAGCTGAGGTTGCTGGGCCCTTCCCAGTAGCAGGGAGATGCTGCAGGAAGAAGTGGCAGTAAGATGGGATGGGGATGACTGAGGTGGAGATGTTTACACAGGGAGATGTTTGGATAGGGAGCTTAAGAGGTGAGGAGGAGAAGTCTGAGCTGGACATGGAAAAAGGGCAGCCAGAGCCTGACTTGGGAAAGTGGGGAAGACAGCACCAGGAGAGGAAGTTCATCTCAGCAGCTGCAGTTTGGATAGCTGGCAGGGGGGAGGGGAAGTCACCGGAACGTGATCTGGGGTCTTGTCAGTCGGAAGAGCTTGGATACACTGTCAAAGAGATCGGCCCTATTTTAACAGAGCGAGGAACAGAGATGAAGTGGTGAAGAGTTCCCTGAGACCTAGAAAGGAGGCTGATTGCGACTCTGTTCTGATTCTAAATCCTGTGCTTGGACCACACTCAGTGCAACCGTCTGTAAATTAATGACCTACCTGAACAACCACCAGTGCTGCCGCTGCCTGTCCTGGAGCAGAAAACTGAGAATTTTGTGGGAGCTTTCTCAGGTCAGTGTCAACCAAGGCTGGTGGCCTGTTGGAGAGTCTGTCTGACGCATTTGGAAAGCAGTCGCTTAGAAATGGCTGCTCCACGTAAGGGCATGGGGGTTGCAAAAACCCTCCAATGCACAGAGCTCTGACTAACAAGGCTTGTGTTCTATCACTAGAGTCCTGATGTCAGAGACCAGATGGCTGCCCCTGTGGTCTGGGCCATGGTGTTCTGCACTGAGGAACCTGTCCGTTCTCTCCAGACTGCAGGGATCTGAAATTCTTTGCAGCCCCTGCTGTTGCTGTACCCTGGAGAAGTGTATTTGTCTGGGGCTGAATTTGTGCTACCAGGGCTAGATACTGCTGACCTTATTCACTGTTGTGACAGTGTTCAGTGGCAGTTCTGTGTGAGCGAGGTCTGCAGGAATAGGCCTCATCTGAATGGGTGCTCTTTTACCCAGACAGAACCTTGTGGGCTGGACTGTACCCTGTGTGTGAAATTCCACTGGCAGTGGAGATGCACAAGTAGTTAGCTTTGGAGAGAGGGGTAGTCTAAACCTAATACCTTTGGGAGGCTTGGGTGGAAGGTGCTAGAGTGAGGAGACACTAACTCATGACCCCTCCCCGGCCCTCTGAGGTTGGTTGCTATTAGCTGCAAAGTGACTGGCTGCAAGGTCATACACAACATCAATAACAGAAGCAGAAGCCAGTCCCGGTACTCAGTACCAATCCAGCTCCACCCATTAGACCACGCACCCTTCCAGCGCCACAGAACCCAGGAGCCCCGACTCTCAGACCTGTGCCTTACATCACAAGGCCAAACCGTCTTCCGTTAAGGGAGCTATAGAAGGGATCATCTGTAGAGACTCCCTCTACACTCCCACTGTCAGAGAGTGTTTCCATGGGTGACAAGTGCATGAGCAGAGATCTCCCCTATGGGAATCCTAGGGGCTGCACAGTTGGGTTTCACAGGGAAGGCCTCCAGCAG